ATATATATATATATATACAGGGTGTTTCAACAAATTGGTTACAAACCTTCAGGAGAGATACAGTACATCTATACGATGGAAAATCACATAGCAATGTGTGGTTGAGAAGTCTTTCCTGACGTGGTAGAGTGACAACACAAGAAAGGAAAAATATAAACAAGGTGAGGAAACATGTTTCTTATGTTTAGTACAGTAGAAATCAAGGAATAAGAACAAAAATAGACAATTATTGTAATTAAAGAAGATGTTCAAAATTACAAACCTGGATTCTGTTACAGGCCTCACATCTCAAGCACATGGAAGATCTGATGTTCTGGACTTCCTCAGCAGCTGCCACAATGCGTGCAACAAGTTTCTTGACACTTCTAACAGCGGTTTCATACACCAATGTCTTGATGTAACCCCAGAGGAAGTAGTCAAAGCGAGTGGGGTCTGGCGATCTTGTTAGCCAATTAACCGACCACCCCTGCCTATCCCATGTTGAGGATATGTTTCAAACGCAATTTCGAACACCTTCTTCGATGAAATTAATCTGTTTTTGGTTTTATTTCTTGATTTCTGCTGCACTAAGTATAATAAACATATACTGCCCTTCCAAAGTTAAGGAACAGCACATTTTTTATATCCCATTTGAAAATGAAGCAGCACAGAAACAAATAATTTAGAGGATATGTTCACTAAACAGTTCTTTAATGAATGTGACATAGAATGTTTCCTAAATTCAATAAAAAATAAATTACAACGAAAAATTACACTCTTGGCAGACAAATGCAGTCTTTGAAGAACAGTACATCACAGTTTTTTGACGAAAAATGTGGTTTAACATTACAAAAATGGGTTCTAATAAGGAATGTGTCCAACTTCAGTTGCAATACATTGGTGACAGTGAAGTTCCATGCTGTCAATTAAATTGTTGATCAGTGGAAGGGAAAGCAAAACCCAGACACAGAGTAATCTTTGTTTAAGCTCATCTGACGACCCTGGAGGAGGACTTAAAGCAGCAACCTGTCTCCCAAGGCAGTCTGAAAGTTGCTGTATCAGATTGAAGTCTGGGGATCGAGCTGGCCATTCCATCCGCTTCGTACCATGACCCTCAAGATACTCTTCAGCAAACTCAGCTCGGTGGTATCACACTGCTGTCCATCAGAAGAAATCCAAGACAAATAGCAGCGGCATGTGGGTGGACATATCGATCAAAGATCTCGTCTCCATATCTTCCACCGGTCAAAGTTCCTCCATGGAACATATGCAGATCAATATTGACCACTGAGAAAGGTCCCAGACCAAACCAATATCCCACACCTCTATAAATGTGTTTTTTCAGAATGTGGGATTGGTTCTATCTGGTGTGTTGTTCTCTTTAGATCAGCTGACGACCTGAATACATCTCCAATGTGAAACTGGACTCGTCTGTGAAGAGAACAGACAGCCATTGTTGACTGGTTCAGAAGTCATACAAGCCTGTAATGTGCATGCAGGCCTGTAATGTACACACTGTAATAATTGAGATTTTTTTTCTTGTTGTTACAGAATGATCTGCCATGAGATGAAGCACAATAATGTTGCTCTTTCTTCCGGCCGAAATGAATAAATAATGGTCTTCCACAGTTGTTACTCTTGGTTTGCCTGGAACATGACTTCTAGACACAGAATCCTCAGATTCAAACTAATTCCATAGTCATTGGACCACACTATGAGAAACACAGAGATATCTAGCAGCATCAGCTTGTCACATCCCCATTTCCATTCATCAGATTGCCTGCCACCTCAACAAACTGGCAAATGACTTATCCTAGACATTGATAAACTCTCCTGGATACTGTCAACAAAATTGCTAATAACAACTGAACATCAAGAATCATAAACAAAACTTACAATTTCTGACATTTTTTTCTCCAACTCTTAAATAAGCATTCATTTCTATAAAATAAAAATTGCAGCTATTGCTTTTGCATATATTTCTTCAACTTCATTACTATCATGCATATAAACTGTGAATTTAAATGTTACTGACATTTTTGTAATGGTGACCTTTGAAAACATGCTGTTCCTTAACTTTCAGAAAGCAATGCTTATTCTCAACCTGTTCTTGTCCTTCATTTCTTGTGTTTTATGTTGCCACTATCACACCTGGTAAGTACTTTTGACCATGCATTGCTATGTGTTTTCTATCAGCTTGGTGTACGCTATCTCTCCTGAAAGTTTATAACTTATTTGCTGAAACAACCAGAACGTATATATAAGAAAATTAAAGAATATGTAAAAGATTAAATTAGCAACATAAATTCCCCTGCTCTATTCTAAAAAGAGTAACCTCTATTTGCACTGTGTCATTTCGAGACTGATCCATGTCATATGACTCTTACATAATTCTGATGATTTAAATGGAACTAAAACTCAAACAGCTAATAGTAATTTTACAGCAATATTAACTATCCAATCAAAATTCATCGAGAACCAAAACTAACTCAGTCTAAATTAAGATTTCACCCTTAACACACTTGCTTTCTACGCTTTCACCTAGCTTGACTACAGTCCGTCTACTAATGTAAACTAATGCAACATAATGTAAACTTTTGGGAATGGGCACATTTAACGTGCCAACTTGTTTGTGGCCGCAACATGTTTGCCGCAATAAAAAGTGAAGATTTAATCTGCCTTTTCCTCCAATTTCCTATTCATTTTGGATCAATCCTTCTACGCCATCAAAATGCTAACTGTTCATTATAGATTCAACAGCTTGCGTTCTACTGCAGAATCTATTACATATATATATGTGTATATATGTGTGTATGATGATTTGTGCATAAAAGTTAAAGGTAGATATGCTTCATACTCTTGCTTGGAAGCTTGGAAATGTGATACAATAAATTTAATTTCATCACTATAATGATGACTCATTTGCATAACTTGGATATATTGGTGGCATTGAAGATAGAAGACTGATGCATAAAAAAGTACAGACTTGCAGATGGACAAATTCAAATAATATTTCTTTTGTTGTATTTAAAGATTTTGCGGCCACAAATAATTTGGAACATTATACTGAGCCTGTTCAAGAACATTTATATTTTTGATATTGTTGTGATAGAAACAAAGCAAAATGGCAACACCTTAGCGCAACAGAAGCAGAAGCAAAGTGTTGTATTCGGGATGAAATCTTAATTCAGAATGGGTAAGTTTCATTTTCAATGCCTTTAATTAGATAATTAATAATGCTATAAAATTATTATTGGCTGTTTGAGTCCCATTTACATTACCAGCATTATGTAAAAGTCATTTGATATGGATTAATTTAGAAATGATGCAATCCAGAAAAAGTAATTATAAGCAAGTAATGTTTTTAGTATAGAGAGGATTAATACCCAAATTAAAATTAAGGGGGCTAAATTAAGTTATAATTTTGATTTAAACACTTTTTATCTTACACCCCCCCATGTATATACAAACACACATCCACACACATATATATGCACACCCATGCAAAAAATGTTAATGAAAGAAAAAAAAATGGTTACATGAAAGCTGTAGATTAATACTGTAATATTTAAAATTAGGGAAAGTTTAAAGTTATTGGTGATTTCATATACAAAGGTTCACTGCAATGAATTTCAAGAGATCATCAAAGAAAAAATCGTCCCAGCATGTGGCAAATGTGCCCAATAAATACTCACACCAGACTGACAACTTCAAGTACACAATAATTTTTAATAAGTTAATAATAACACATACTTCTTGACTTAAAACATTTTGGACTTACTATAAAACTAAACTATTTTTATTATTACAGTTATGCTCGTCTACAAATGAGGCAAAGAATTAAAGAAGAAACAAATAAAGAAATATTGTATTTTTGGTAGACAGCCATATCTGTTCTCTGTAAAGTGCTATCCAGCTATGTAATCACTATGGATATGACCACTAATACAGGTTCATAAACCACTCAAAATGCAGCTAACTTTCTCTCCCTCCCTCATTTTTATGGAATTAATCCTTTAGATCATCACTAAACTTTCAACTCAAATTATAAACAAATAATATTTTGTATTCCCACAGATTATGACAGACAAAATGGACTGAAGTGCCTGTTTGTTTTTTTATCATAAAAACATGCTACACATACACCACATAGTAGAAAAAAATAACGATTCCCCCCATTTTGGTAGCCTTGAAATCATTCTTAAAGAACATTCATTGCATATGGCATCTCAACTAATTTATAAAATTTCATTCTGATGTCCAGATAAACAAACATTTCAAATAAGAGGATGGAAATATTTAGTTTTACTTAGGAATGAAATAAACTGCATTTATTTTTAAATTTAAATTTTTTAAACATACTAGTTATAACCATCAAACATTTGCTAATATGTTTGTTCTCCTTTGAGTATAAAGTACACAGAAAAATTTTAGATTGCATAGCAAATAGATAAAAATTTATAGTTAGGTTAAATATTTTTTACATACTATTACTATTAAAATCCCACACTGAAGAAACTAAAGTATTTCTTAAAAAAAGAAATTATCAGGGAAGATTTGAAACACTGCTATAGCATAATTTTGTGAAAATGCAAAATGTTTCTATGAATGCCAGTTGACATAATAAACCAGAAAACATTTTCATAATTAATTTGACCTGGTTAGTTATTTCATAACTGAAATGAAGATCCGATTTATTAAATAAACTTAGGTACATCTGAGAGTAATATTAGTTCCCCACTCACTAATATTACATATAATAAGAAAACTCATTGTACAAACTTTGATTATAAATGCTGCAAAAGCAAAATATTAAAAAAAAACTCACATTGAATTTCATGATTATCTAAAATAAAAGCAAAGTATTTTATTAATTTTACCTTGCATCTTTTAGAAGTATAGTCTAAGCTAAAGCATTAAAAATGCAAACAGAGTATTTGTAACTTGTGACAAGTTAACAAATACAACTAAAATAAAATAAAATAAAATAGGCACTAGCCATTAATAAAAAAACTGATTACATTTTGATGCTCGGAAGTTTGTCCTACTCAGAGCATTACTGTTTGGGGGAATGGACTTAGATGTGGCACTATCGTTGTTGGCATTCTGAGAATAAGATGATGTAGAATTGGTCACTCCGCTGGATTCAGAGTTACCTGGAAAATTATTATGCAAAAACTACAAAAAACACTGAATTGTAGAATGCAGAACCATTTTTGGAAACAGGTTTCATTTTCACTTCCAGAGATCATATTTATTTTACTGAAATAAAATAAAAATAAGCCATGCTGGGGTACTTTATATAACAGGATTAACATGCAAAGCTACAGAAGAGCATGCCGGGAGAAGTTCAGGGGAAAAATATGAGCCCAAAATTTTGTTTTTTAGTTATAACAGTAATTATATTGAGAATTTTTTATAAATAACTACATCAACAAATAAATGTAACTTTGGTACTTAAACTGAATGAAAAAAAAAAAAAAAAAAAAAGTATCTATTAATTTTTTGAAGCAAACATCAATGAATACACTCATGACCATTCAAATGCATATACACTTGTTTCTATGTGACATGTATTAATATTAAATTTTTGGTCATACAAATAAATTTAGGAATAAAATCAATCTTGAAAGATAGAATAAACAAGAAAAGAAAAATGAAATCAGGAGAAAAAATGCACTAAGAAAACAAAACTAGGGGTGAGGACTAAAATTATGTATATACACATATTAAAAGCCCAACTATCTGTCATTCAGCTACCCAAAAAGTAAATCAAGTAACTGGAAAATTTTAAAATTAATTATTTTTTAAGTACAGGACTCTCAAAACCCCACCGATAAATATTGTTTTAAGAGCTTGTCCTTATAATAGGACAAAATTAATTTTTTTTAAGTACAGGACTCTCAAAACTCCACCAATAAATATTGTTTTAAGAGTTTGTCCTTATAATAGAACACACACAAACAAACAGACAAAAAAGTGGGGAGTTACTATGGCATGGGAAGACATGATTCCTAAATTCACAATATTTACTTTGTTTGTCTATCACAATCATTACTCTCATCAGTATGTTTAATGGAGATGGTCACTGAAGTAATAGGCCTTATACATTTACAGAATAGATGAGCCAAGTAAAAATTTCGTTGTTACTTTCTTTCGAGTGAATTTTGGTCATGAAAAATAGAAAACAATATTATAACATGCATTTTATTTAAAGCAAAAAATTTTTAAATGTTATGTTGTAAATCATCATGTGCATAAAAATGGCAAATTTAAATTTCTACTAAGAAACTACTACACTGGTGAAATAAATTAAGAGAATTTGTATATTTTATCAAAAAGAGAGAGAGAAAAAGAAAAAAGAAAAAGAATCGCTAAACAATGCAAGTTACTGCTAGGGCGTCCTCCTGCTAATACATTTTTATTTTACCTTTATTATTAAGCATCATTGTGTTCGCACTTATGCCACAAAAACTTCAAGACCAAAAAATATTAAACAGGCACATACACTAGTAAAATAAATTAACAGAATTTGAATATTTTATCGAATTGTATGAAAAGAACTGAACTGAAGAAAAAATCATTGCTTCTAGATAAAAATGCAAATCTTGTACGGGAAATATGTAAGTGCACACGTGTGTGTAGGCGGAGGCAGCAGAAAAACAGGCTTTATAAACGTGTGAAGGGTAAGATGAATTGCATTCGCTAGCACACCTTAGCGAATTTCTTGGTGTTATCTTGCAGCAATCGGTTAAATTCACATTGGAACAGTAAAAGTGACTAACCACCGTTTAGATGATGGAATGAGGTGGCGAATTGTGGGGAGGCTAGAGGCAGGCCAATTCCAAGTCCCGATATAGAGAGAGTTTATTTTAACCCCCAGCATCAAGTGTAACCTATGGAAACAGTTCCAGGATACTGAAGAGAACGCCTGGGCAAGGTCGTCCAAGAGACACGATGGCCAGAGAAGATCGCTATTTGTCCATTTTAGCGAGGCATAACAGGGCTACAGCTTTTCAGCTCTCTCAAGACTGTATGTGGCCACAGACGAGTCCCGTTTTAGCCTAAACACCGATTCTCGCCGTAATTTCATATGGAAAGAGCCAAGGACCCACTACTTATACCCTCCAATGTCCGCGAAATCAACAATTATGGTGGTGTAACGGTCTGGGCAGACATTATGTTGGATGGCCGCACACCTCTCCACGTCTTTGACAGAGGCTCTGTGACTGGTGTGCACAAAAATGAGGTATAGGGATGAGGTCTTGGAGCCCTATGTTCACCTTTTTCGGGGTGCAGTGGGCCCCGAGTTCATCTTACAGGACGATAACACGAGGCCACATAGAGCTCTTCTGGTCGACGAATTTCTCAAGAGCGAGGATATTCGCCGGATGGATTGGCCAGCCAGCTCTCCAGACCTCAAACCTATAGAGCATGTCTGAGATGCTATGGGGAGGGCAAATGCAACTTACAACCACCCTCTGAGAACCATGCAGGAACTGAAAACAGCGTTCCTGAATGAGTGGGACCAATTGCCACAGGACTGATAAACTGCCTTATTTCCAGTATGACGTCACGCTGTGAGGCCTTGTATGGCTGTAAGAGGGGACCATACCTCCTATTAACCCATTTCTTTTGTGTCTTCTGCAATCGCTGTTTCAGATCTTCAGACTCTCATTAGTGTTACACATGAAAATGTGTATCTACTATAACTGCTGAATGTTTATTTTGTTTGTATTATTATATCAACCTATGTTCACACCAAATTTTATTAAAATCCGCCCAGTAGTTCTGGAGATCGTAAATCAAATATGAAAATTCTCTTAATTTCTTTACAGTGTGTACTTAAAAGACTCTACTAAGAAAAATGGATTAGGGCTCATTTCTACGACACGAGATAGCTATAGATGTGTCAAGAAGTATTCTTGTGGTAGACTGATAGTGCCAAGGTAGGGAGAAATTTGGAATGAGTGCTCTGATATGTGTTCTTATAGAAGTTAAAATACTTTAATCTCTTTTGCAAATATGAATTTCAATCAATTGGTCTGAAGCTGAATGTCATACTAGCAATAATTTTTGAATATTTTACATATCTTTTTAGTGTAAAAGCAGAGTAATCTTTTATTTTGACTAATTATGCAGCTTCCACTAGAATAGCTAGTGCAAGTCTGGTGGTATCTTCACTAATTCTTATGGTTCCCGGCATTTTATAATCAGGTAAGATATTTTAATTTCCTAAGTTAAAGGCTGACGAAATACACCAAATTTTATGTAAGATCAAATCTTACATAATTTTTTATTAGAATTTTTTTCTCTATTCACATGGCTTTTCTATCACAAATTACATTTTGTAAATGCTCAGCTATTCGGTAATTTCATGTATCTGGTATTCAGCATTTACCAAGTGTTCCAGATTGTCAAGCTTTTACTCTGCATATATGTGTGTAGGATATCACTTAATCCATATATATATAAGAAATCACTTGAGCAAGGACCTTTTAGCAGTATTTTTTTAAATAGGCACATAGAAAATTTTGCCTATGCATAATGTAGCCCAAGCATCACCTGTTTATAAATAGATGCCATTTTGAATCATGTCAAAAGCGTGTACTATACATGATTGATGAATATGTTTAAGAAGGCCAAGCAGTCCACCATCTGTTAAATAATGTTTGTTATTAATTCTGGACCAAAATATGACACCAGGGATTTATCACCAAATCTATGAAGTGTATGATTCAAATCCAAGTGATGGCAAAGTTCGTAAAGAAGGCAAGGAGAACATATATGATAAAACCTGCCTGGTCCACCTGTTGGTGATACTGTGTGTGGTCTATAATTCATTGATAACAGAGGACTCACCTTTTCCACATTAACAATGAATTTCCAAAACAGCACTGATCTGATAACAATATGAATGTTAGACAGAAAGACACAACTTTAATTTGCATTGTTGTTAAATATAGAAACTAAAGTTTTTGTTTTTTATAAATAAATTACTTTGCATATCCATCTCCCATATGCATGCTAAGAGTAAATTTTGGCAAAATAACAATTTTGTTTTAATGTAATTAACTGAGATAACTTCAGCATCCCACACAAATTTAAAGCTTTATTGCGAAAAAAAAATACTGTCCAATTTTTTTCATTACATGTAGTCTTTTTTCATTTATGTATATCTTTTATTATAATTAATTTTTGTTTCTTATTAAAAACATTTTTTCAAAATAAATATATCAAATAAAATTTTAAAATAAATACAGATAATAATCTAAACTAACATAAATATCAGCTCAGCATATCATGATAGAAATACATGCAGGTAAAATTTACTTTTAATATAGAATCATCATTAAAAATTATACGGAATATGAAAGCATACATAAATTAAAATCAAAAACAGAAACATTTTAATATTTTAAATAATTTTAAATAAATTTAAAGTGGTTTTCAAAAATATATTCTGCAAACTACAATGTAACCTAATAAATATTACAGGATGTGTAAAACTATATCCTATGCTTTTTCTCCCTTTTTTCTTTCATCTTATTTTAAAAACTATTAAATGTCATTAAATCACAGCTCCCATGATTATATTAGCCTGTAGTCAAAGCAGCAGTGACATTTACAATTTTATATACTTCTAGAGCACAAAACAGTTTTCAGTTATTTAATATATATATATATATATATACGAACATAAATGTTTTATATATGAAGTGGTACCTCAGTATGCATGATTGACCCAGTTCAGATTCTTGATTTATACCAAACTGAGTGTAAGACAAATTTGTTCAATAAGAAATAGAGGGACAATAATGAATCTGTTTTTATTAGGAAAATACTGCTGTTATTATTATAACACTGTTTAATTCTAAAATACAAATGTAATGGGTGAAATTTTTTACGTGAATGAAATATACATTAATGCTTTTCTGCTATCCAGATCAAAAACAATTGCTGAACATGCCTTAGTGTCTCCGATCTTTATTTAGTAATTGATTCGAGCTCCTTCACAACCAATTTAAAAACATCTTTGTATTTTACAATTGTACATATTGTTGTTTGCAGCATACAGTAGACAATAGTTAAGTTCTAGATATGTGTACCATCTTTCTACTTTTCAATAATCTTTTCCCCCCTCTCTCTTTTTACCTTCATGATTATCCTTATCATTTTTTTCCATTCCTTTACTCTTCTCATTAACTTTTTTAAAAACTCAATAAACTTACAAAACATTTATGCAAAAAAAAAATTACATGAAAATTCAGCAATGGTTATGTGGTACAGTGTTGCGAGAAAATTTTCAAGTACAGTAGCAAAGGAAAACTCAAAAAGTCACAAATGACATTAGAGATCACGTGACTTTTTGTGACATCATAGTTACGCATGCTCACATGACCTCTGATGTCATCACAAATTTACTGTCTACTGGTTCCGTGAGTTACAGACTGTATTTGATTCTTAGTCATTTTAATTACATATCTTAGCTTTAATGAAAATTTTGAAATTATATTGCTCATTTTCAATTCTTTTTGATTAATTCTCATTTAATTTAGGTTCTATTTTTAAATTAATTTGTGCACATCCATTCTTAAGAAATTCTTCACATTTAGATTGTTAGCACTTCTGTACTAAATTTTTTTAGTTGGCAATTCATTTTTTAAATTTTTTTAGTTGGCAATTCATTTTTTAATTTTTTTTTTTTTTTTTTTTTTTTTGCTTAATTGTAAATATTTCAATTGAGGAATGTTTTTCAACGAGTCTTCCGTTCTGCCTGGTGGGCTTAGTTCAAATCCTGATTACACATAAATTTAATAGTAAAAAGCCTTGTCCTTTTACTATTAAATTTATGTGTGTTGTTATTTAGCAAATTGCCACTGCTGTGATTTTAAGTCATTTCTATTGCTTAGTTCTCAGCAACATTATAGGTGAATGAATTTCATTTCTTTCTCTGTTTGGTTACCCAATATATGACGCACAAGCTGCAATTCTTTTATTCAATTTGTTATCACCACAGAATTGGGGAGAGTGAACTGACTTAAAAACAAAACGCATGGGGGACAAGGAGAGAACAAGAGAGGTTTGAAAGCAGCCCCTTCCCCAAAATTTTCTCCCTTCCCCCTACCCCCTTCTTGTCATACCGACATCAGGCTGTGCAGTCTTGAAAGCCCACATGTAAACAGTTGCCAGATGCCAACTTCTATTTAAGCCTAAAACTGTTTTTTTGATATAAATTATTTTAACATGCAAGAATTTTACGAAATATTATAAAAAATCGTTGAAGCCACAAAAAGTAGCATAAGAAAATAATGGAAGTCACAAAATCGCAAATACTAAAATTTTAGTAGCACAAGTTTGTCAAATGTCGCAAATTTGTGAAAAATCACACGACCTGGCAACACTGATATGGTATATGCAAGCTGCTTACTGAATAGTAAATTCATTCTCACTGCCAGCATTTGCTAAAAACAAAATAACAATAAAACATTCACTGGGCTCACCCCTAGTTGAATATACTTTCCCAGTTGTTATAGAAACACCCCAGCTTAGACATACTGACAAGAGTAATTCTTATGATAAATAAAAAATGCCATATGAGCTTCAGCAACAAAAGACAAAGTAGACGTCTATAAAACAATGGCTTGAGAGAAAAAGTAAGTATAAATTAAGCTGATGCCCAAAAAAGAGGAAGTGAATTGTATTTTCAAATACCATAACCGAGACAAAGAGAGAGCACAACTATAATTCAAATTTAAAAAAAAAAAAAAAAAAAAAACACTAATGAAAAATCTGATTATTTGAAATTGAACATATACCAATAAAAGTTAAATGTTTTCAAGCTCTGGTAAATGAAAGCTAACTTATTTGGTAAAAAACTAACTGTATCACAGATTATTTTAAAAATAAATGGCAAAGACCTAGTATATACAAAGTGCCTGCAAGTGATTTAAAATATTCAATAGGACAATTTTCTGAAAAGAAACTGTATAAGGTTCAAATTCACTGTATCCAACAGTGTAAATACTTGGTATTTCTCACATCCTATCAGCATAACTTTTCAATTTATGGATATAATTTAACACACAAATCCTTTCTTCACAGACATAAAATATCAACATTCAAAACCACATGACTAAAAAAAAGTTGATTTCTAATGAAATGACAGTGTCCACAAGGGCTGCAAGACAAATTTCTTGTGTTTTTGCCATGTTTTATTACTAAAGAAAACGTTACAATTGAATATATTACTTTATTCCACACAATGCGTTAATACCTTGAAGGAATGGTTATTTCCACTTATTGAATAAAGTTCTGTCTGCTATAAATTAAGATCAGAAACAAGAGAAGAAAGTGTTAGCAAGCAATCGACAAGATATAATCTTTTATCTATCTTCTGTTTTATAAATGAGCACTCCTCATCAGCATAATAAAATGAATCAGTTATAAAAAGTCAATTTGTCTGCACTTTTCAACAGTCAACCAACTGGTACAAATGCCTGGATTCAAACTTGAAGAAGGAATGGACGTTAGTAAGTACATAGTGTAGGGAACCAATCAAAATACATGGTAATTCAAAAGTTCTCTCTAGAGGTTTATAATAAGGAGATAGGGATGGGAGACCCTTACCCCCCCCCCCCGGTGTTCTTCAAAACTCTGGTGAAACTGCATAGTTAATATGGCAGGTACATAACTGTACAACCACAGGTGAATTTCTGGCGTCGCATGTACTTCTACCTGTGCCTGTACTTTTAAATAACATTTTGCAATAAGCATTATTTTATACCAATAGAAAATAAATAAAATACATTTTCTAACACCATATAACAGATCAGAATTTTTTACTTTTTCTTCTGCACACAATCATCAGCACCAAAAACAGAATTTAATAATGGTAAAATTCCACTATAACATTCACAGAGCAACTGTTTACACATATTTCTTTTGTAATGTCATTCAAATGATGATGAATTTTCAGATTTTGTGCTAGCTATTCATACAGTTTTAGACCTAATTAATAACATTTTCTTTGAAATGTAATTTTGTAATCTTAAATTTCTAGAAAACAGGCACTTTAATAATTTTTACTGCATAAGGTTTCGAAGTTCGCTTGTTCCCAAGTTCTTCCTTTTTAAACAGCTGGATGACACTAAGTACACTAAGTCATAATGTAATTATTTCCACCACAGTGGAGTTAATTTGGCACACTTCAAAAAAAAAAAAAAAAAACAGTAACCAAAAACGACTTTTATGAGGACTACATTGCATCCTAAAGGTTAGTTTCCAAATCTTGAAATCATGCACAACTGAAAAAAAGCAGGCATCATTATCCATACTCAGTCAGAAGCTCTCAAACATGAAGCACTAGTTTGCCAAATTCCAACAGAAAAGAGGAAATTACTTCCAGAATTTGTTTTTTATTTTGCTGAAATATGGTATCTGGCAGCATATACAACCACAACTTCTTACTATTGCCTCCTTTATACACTATGGTTGTAATAAACAAGCATTCAGGCTTTTTATAAGTGAAGGGTCTTATAAAATAAATCAATACTCAATGGCATTTTTTATTTCTATTTTGAATGTTTTATTCAAGAAACCGAATTAAAAATATATGCTGTAAAATCAAACTTATTAAATTTCATTTAAAGTTATAAATAGAAAGTAAATATAGGTATTTTCCAGAACATTAATTTCAACAAAAATACAAAATATGTGTTTTAAACTACACCAAATTGTTTATAATTCAAACTCCACAATCTCTGATACCACAAAATATCATTACCTTCAGAATATCTTGGGGGGGAAAAAAGGAAACTCATCATTCAAGCAAAGTAAAAAGAAGAAAATGAGTGCAAAGGAATGTGTGTATCATTTTTTTAGGCAGGAGGTGACAAAACATACCAAGGGATGATGAAAAAAACAAGTCCAGTAAGGAGGTAGTTCGGCGGGATGGTTTGCTTTTGCGATGAAGTGACATTTTTTTACCTTCTTTCTTGTAGATCTTTTCTTCAGTGTGGATCTCGGAAGAGTCTGGTGAATGGGTTTGGCCTAAGGGAGAAAGGTCAGCCTCCTCAAAAGTCACTGCACCTAATCATAAATATAATCTCAATGCACTGAACTGTTATTAAATGAAAAACCTTACTTTGTAGCAGTATTCAGTTCTCTTACACTAAGTAAAGTTAAACGTTAAACTAACATCACTCATTCCATCACTAGTTTTATTTGAGCAGTCTACAGATGCATACGCTTTACACAAAGTCAATTTCTTTATGTATAAAGAATATTAAACCTAAGTTTATTAACTTTGGGAAAATTATTATAATAAGCAATACAACAGTATTTGAAATTCAGCATAAATTTGCCAAATATTAATTGAAAATATTCAAGATCTAACATGATAAACAAAAATGCTATAAAAATATTGGTACTTTTCCCTTAAAGCCCATTTGCTGTTTTTTTATTTATACATACATATATTTCCTTGGTGCCAGGTGTCACCAGTCTGGTTTAGATTCTTTCCTGGAGATAATTTTCTTCACAACCATTGCTTACATAATTATGTTTGTCTATTCTTTTTTTTAATTTGTTCTTTTCTCATTTGCAATGGATTTTATAACTTACTATTTGCCAAGAAATGAACAAGCAATTATTCTCTTTCTAAAAAGAGATATTAAAAGAAAGAAGAAACACTGTGGTTGGACAAATACCTCATGAAATTAATGTGACTTGAGTCAAAATGATAATCGTATTAGCTTTCATTCACACTGATATGAAAAGGAAGTCTAAATACAAAGCCAGTTTATTGGATTACGCATTTCTTTCATTATTGGCAATTCATTTACTTATTGTATCAAGAGTTAAGATGTATCGAGTTTTGTGAATCAAAGCTCAAAGCAATCACAACACTCAAATGAAATGAATTACAATGCAGTGATTGGTTGGAATAAGTGCATGAAAGAGGTATGTGGCAAATCTTTGTTGTCTAGTCCTACTGTTAAAATTGATGGACACTACAAAATTTTAGAAATTGACGAATACTTGCTGACAAAAATAGAAAAAAAAATTGAAGTCTTCCTTCCAAAGGGTTTTTGAAGGATTTTGTTACAATATTATAGATTGTTTCTTTGTTGCTGTTTCATATTTTCAATTTTGTCAAGTAACAAACCAAAGGTGCGAAGGAAAAAATAAGCCAAAATGTAGTAACACAGTGCTGAAAATGCATCGTATGACTTTAATGGAAAAGTACAAAAACAATCATTCACTAAAAAAATACAAGGATTGAAAATACAGGAGAACTGCATCCATAATGCAAGAATATTTAGTGACAAATGCATGTTTATTACTAACAGTAGGAGATATTTACCTGAAATTTTTCAGTAAAATTTCTAAAAAAGAATGCTGCTTAAGGACTTATTTGCAACTTACCGGGTTTTTCAGCACCAGTACCTCTTTCATTAACCATGTGTTCAAGAAGTTTATCAACATCCATTTCATTACACTGTTGAACAAATTCCACATGCACCTGAAATATCACAATAATGAGGATTATTTTTCAAATTATTAATTATTAAACTATAAAAAGAATATACAGAAAACAGAAATTTCACATGATAAGCTAGAGCAAGCTTCCATAGGCATGAAGGCACTTTAAATAGCATAAAAACTATTAAAAGAATATAGCATACTAATTAACATTGTAAGATCCATCAAGACTATATATGATAAGCAAAAATACAAACAATTAATCCTAGTCTCTAATTTTTTTTAATTTTTAATAAAATAAAAGTTCCACAAAAAATTAAAACTTGAATATGAATCATAACTAGTTGAATGTACATCCCTTAAAATTTATTTTTAAAAGTACAATTTTTATTATAATTTAATATAAGTACATTTAGAAAAATTACTTGGGGTATTTTACAAAGCAGCTTACCTGTCCAATTAAAGCATGGCCACTTTCTAAGACATGAGCATAATTTGAAAGGAATATTTTTATTTGTTTGATATGTGCTTCTTCAATGCTTTGGAAATGCTAACAAAATATTTAAATAAATTTTACAACTGCATATAATGAAAATGAGAATCAGATTAAAAAATAATAACAATAAATAAATAAGACTGTTCACATTTTCTTCTATGAAATAAAAATTCTAAACTTTATAAATGTGGTCTGTCTGTTTTCTTATACTTTAGACAATATTCCATACTTTTCCCTTTTATTTTATTTAATTAAAATAGTTTTTTATTTTATATAATTAAAATGGTATAAATAGATTAGTTCATTAATTCAATGTGAATAAAAATATTTAATGTGCTAATATGCATCCAAATTACACATAAAAATTTAACATACTTGGCAAGAAACCATCATTTTCTTCTCAAAATCTTCTCTAATTGTCGTATATTTTTCAATGTATAATTTATATTCTTCACCTAAAAAATTAAATAATTGTTGTCTGTAGTTTGCTAATGCAATGCATGTTATTTCTGCTAAACTACACTTTTAAAAGAGAGGAACTTAATAAAACTGAATTAGAAAGATATTCTCATATCCCCCACCATAACAACAAAGTTACAAATCAAGAAAGAAAAGAATTCTAAATTATTAAAATATTACCTGTAATTCACAATATTACAACAGAAAGAAATCACTTACATGCTTTTTTACACTTTAATTCAGCCTAAAAAATAAATAACAGTAGTTATACAAAGAAGTTAATGCATAAATCAGAAATGATATAATGGTGTTTCAATGTTAATAAAAAGAATAAATTAAATATTTTTAAAGCTTATAAACTGAATTAATAATGTAGTAATACATTGTTATAAATTAAAAGTAAACAGAACTACAGTCAATTAAAAAAATTTTATATACAGATTAAAGAACAAAAGATGTTTTTAAGAGCACCACTTCTAAAACATTAGAATTTGAATAAATGTAGTGAAGATGGATGCTTACTAAGATTTACAATATAGAAAACAATCTCATGCAATAAAAAACTTAGCTCCATAGATATCTTACTTAGCATGACTAAGATTTAAAAGAATTACTTTTTCTAAGTCTTTAATAGAAGCATTTTCTCTTTTTAATTTCTCATATTCTACAGCTCTAGCATTGAAAGCTTCTTTTGCCTAAAATATTTTAAATTACACATTTATGTCGAAATAATACAATACACAAGCAGAAATATAGATGAAACATTAATATGAAATGCACATGATAGATTAGCTCTTGCACAATCTTTTGTAAATAGTAGTATTATTTTCTAGAGAAATACATCATTTATAATGCAATCTGCTACTACCAGATATCTTCACTTATTTAAAGGAGTTTTAAGAAATACAATAGTTTTTGCATGTTTGTTCAAAACTTAAAATCATTAATTTAAGTGAAATAAATGCCTGTATAACAAATTGTAAGCATCAGTAAATTAGCACAGTTAAAGAATCCAAGAAAGCAAAAGTTTATATGACATGAAAATTTCGGCTAAATAGCTGCTAATGATCCCATATTGGCAATATAAAATATAGTGAAAACTGAAGTTTATTAATATTTTCATATACTAAAGTGAAAAATTTAAATGAAGTAATCTTGTTAAACTAAATACTTTAAAAAAAAAAAAACTCAAAAGTTTATTGTAATCTATAACAGAGAAAGAAAGAATTTACATAGTTTTATAATAATTTGTGAAAGAAAGTGAGAATTTGTGCAAATCACTGGACAAGAATGCATTAGTATAAGATTAAGTTTTCCTACTCATGCAGGGCAAAGTTTCTTTATGTATCAACCTCACCATTCAATGCATATTTACTTTAATACGCTGCCTCTGGAATACAAAGAGTTTTATTTTACTGCTTTACTACACATTACTCCATTATAATAATTTTTTTACCACAGTGCATCTGAATTTTCAGAAATTTTTCAATTTTAAAGCAAAATTCATGTGTGAAAGAATAAAATAATCAATTTCGTCAAGTATAGATAAAATGAATACTTATATACATGGTTTTTATACATGGTTTATATACATGGTTTTTACTCATTAATACCTTTTGAAGAGAAATAGTTGTTTGCTGTATACTCTGTACAACATCAGACGTTCCAGACTCCTCTTCTTTACACTATTATGATATAAAGTATGTTTAATTAGTTTAATGAAATTATTTCTATTCACAGAAATAATTATTTAAAAAATGTATGCATAAATATGTAGTGGCCTATGAAAAATTAGCCTGCCTTCAAAACTGGTGCCAAGGTCTTTGAAGGAGCCATAGCCCCTTGCTCTGACAGACAAACAGGTAGGTGTACCTGTCTAAAAACCTGGTGTTGCCAAATCAATTTTCCCCTTTTGTGCCTATTACATCAGAAAGACGGTGTGCATTTTGTTAAATCATCACTGTAGGCAGACTATTTCTTTGTGGACCACCCTGTATTTAACAACAGAAAAAATTATTGAACAGGCTTCTTGTTTATTGGAAAGCTTAACCATTTTAATAAGTCTATTTCATTTTATCATATATCACCAGTAATGATTCTTCAGTTTTTAACATTTAAAATGTTAAAGACTTCATTACAAAGCCAATCTATATTGATTTTGGTCTTACTCTTGGCTGATCTTCTATCAAGAGCATGTTTGATTTCTCTTTCTGACACATGAACTATATAAAAAACCTGTTTCATTTTTCATACTTTGATACATTTCTCAAACTTTAATCATCTATATACTAATAGAAAGTTTATTGCTTTAACAAACATTTTCACAATAAAATACACTGTTGGGAATTAAAATTGCAACACCAGGAAGGAATAATCTGATGAGTTGAAAACCACGTGAAAGAAGAGGCTGGAATATGCAAATGATTAGCATTTCAGCACATTGAGAAGATGCAGGAGAGAGAAACAACATCTGAAGCACTGCATAAAAGAAAAGTTGTGTAGTGAACTTCTCATTCAGTAACTTCTCTTCGTAAGGTCGGAGTGTGCTTAGAATATCGTGTTATGCCTCAAATAGTAAGAAGAAATACCAGCAAATGGTGGAATTCGATAGAGACAGGATCGATGACTATCGAGAGTGTGGATTATCGTTCCATTATATCACCCGATGCATTGATCGACATTCAACTACTGTCATGTGAATATGGAATCAATGGATTACTCAGGGTCATGCTGAACTGCATTTAGGATATCAATGCCCTCCTATGACTAACATTCAAGAGAACAGACATATTGTGAAATCAACCCTGCAAAACAATACAACCACCTCATGGACCTTTAGTCAGGAAAAGGAGATGTTTGCAACACCCCCAGTATCCGCTCGTACGATGCAACGATGTTTGCAGCAGCATGAACTATCAGCATAGCGACCATTACTTCGGCTTCCCTTGACAGTACAGCATAGGTAGGAATGCCGAATCTGGTGCACTGAATGACAAAGCTGGATATAGAAGTGGCACAATGCTGCCTTTTCAGATAGGTCTGGGTTCTGCGTGCAGTATTCTGATGGCAATATATGTGTCTGGAGACTCCGAGGAGACAACACATCGCTTCCTTGCATTCAATATCGGCCTAGAGACCCTGCACCTGACATGATAGTTTGGCAGCCATTGGGTACACGACATGCACATCTCTAGTTCCGATTGATGGTAATTTGAATGCAGATTAGTACATTTCTTACATCTTATGTCCAAAGGTTGTGCCTTACCTTCGAGGTCTACAAACACCATCTTCCAACAAGATAATGTAAGACATGTTGTACGGTGTGTTCTGACCTTCCCTGATACACAGGGTCAGTTTGGAGAGGGTCGGTTTAAATGTCTAGCAAGTACCAGACCACAACCCAACACACAGGTATTCAATTGCTGCTCTGGCCTGTACTGTTACTAATTGAAAGCATCTGGTCATGGGTTGCTGAGACACCCCTCTCCAGCTAATACATTTGATGAAATGTGGCATAGACTTGAAGCAACATGGAACGAGTTGCCCGTTACTGTGCATTCAAGTTCAGGTCAACTCTACACCTAACTAGGTAAGGGCCATTTTAGCTGCTAGGGGTGACAGCTGTTTCTACTAATTCTGCACCCCTGTAAACCCCCAAGCTGGTTACAAATTTAATCATTTTGTCTTACGCCATTGTTTATATACAATAAATATCTTTTTTTGTATTTGTTTTCCTTCATGGTGTTGTGGTTTTAATGGCCAGCAGTGTAAAAAGGGTGGTATTCTCTTTATGAATTCCCTTGGAATCTTTACAAAATATATTATGTATAATTTCATAATTACATCAGCATATGAAACATTTTTCCCACTAGTAATTTCTAAAAAGTTTTACAATAAATGCTATTATTTTAATATTTAAATAAATTTTTGTAAAATGAATATACATGGCAACCAATATGTATGAAAAAAAGAAACACTAAAAGTAATTATTTTATCTGTAATTTACTAGAGAATAAAAAAAAAACTACCACATCAATTAAAATCTTTACATTTAAATAAAGGATTCTAATCTAGTCCATACCTGAGCTGACTTAGCAAAACCATAGACATTTAGGTTTTTACAGCCCTCTGAGACTCATTCACTCAAATACTCATTCACTCAAAAATACTTAAAAATACTTAATATTTATTTGTTTACTTTATTAAACATTTCTTTCAATGTAAGTTGTTTAAGATGCTTCCACAAAAAATTCAAAATTTCCTTTTTCTTGTGTCATATATAGTGGACTTTCCAATGCCATACTTCTCGCATAATTTTTAGCACTTACATAAACTCATTCACTCAAAAATGATAATAAATTTGCCAAAATGTGGGTTCCTACTTTAGCAGTAACCATATGTTAAGCTAGTGCTGTACCAACTGATGTACAGCACCTCTCCCGTATTAAAATCACTCCCGGTCCAAACATATCTAAGTTTATTAGCAGCTTATTAACAGATGGTAATTTATATATTAAAAATTGAGATATTAGCTTTAAACTTATCTAGTAAGATAATACCTACTTCAATAATAAATACCTAAAAGAATAATAAAAATTTAACTATTAATAAAACAAAAGTTAATCTATTTAGGTCGTACAGAAATGAATGAAACAAATGCTGCCATAAAGCAGAAAACAATTTATTAACAAAAACCCAATAGTACATCAGTTATAAATAATCCCCGCAAATGTCAATACACTTCTACCATCTGGCTGGGAGATCCCGAAGGGCTTTGGTAAACCAGTCTGTGGGGGATTGGGGCACTACTTATAGACAATTGCATGCAATTCAGCAGAAGATTCACCATGTTGGCCCCTGACTGCATCCTATATGTTGTCAAGCAAGACATAGTCCGAGGTCCAAAATCCACTCACTTTGCACACACATTTGTAGAAGGAAGGAAAAAGTCTGAAGTCACAAATTTTGTCACTAACTTCAGAAAGCCTGAAGTGAGGAAAACTGAAATGGAACACCAAAGCTAAACGTATCTTTGAATTGAGTATCATGAATAAAAATTTCTCATACTTAAATGGTTTATTTAATACAAAATAGATAATTAATTTATTTGAATACATGTTCAGCTCAAATTTTAAATGTTTATAACAGCTAAGATAAATATCCATTTTATAATATGAGGACAATTTATTTTCAACAAAAATTTCAAACTTAATTTTGTGTACAGTTCGGTTTAGTCTTGGTTAAAAATCTTCCTATTCAATCTCTATTATTCTAAATCATAACAAATTTAACATTAAAGAGGCATACTAATTACTAAAATGAATAAAAGATAAAAAATTTTAATAAGCATTTCTTAAGTGAGAGTCAAATTAACAATTTCATTCTTTATAAAAAATTCTTACCAACTTATGCCTTTTGTGCTGATCCTCTGAATATTTTATAACATCTTTAATAAGCTCTTGGAATCTCTGAACCATTTGCATATGTAATGTTGCTAATTTTTCAGTGGAAGTCTTTAAAATTAGCCATAATGGAGCAAAACTCCTACGTGGAAAGAAAAAATAATTTTACAATTATAAAAAGAATGGGATATCAGAGTAAAATGAGTGTAGCATTTTATAATAAATTTGAATCTGAAGAGATCATTTAAAACAATAGTTCATATAACCTTCTTGCAAAATGTTGGAATAATGGCAATTTCGAAAATTTCTAAGACAAAGAAAACTAGAAGTTTACCTATTCACAGCACACATTTTAATAAATCTCTCATAAAATGGGGAAGGGAAAATTTCACAATGACATTATGATAAAAGTTCTTTATTTTAATAGTTAACACTGGGTCAGCTGAAAAGTTCTTTGATTTTTCAAATCAAGGCATATTTTCTTCTAATTAATTTGTTACTGCTGATTAAGAGTGACTTTGATTGAGGCAGATACTTAAATATTTTCCTTCTGCTCGTGTTGCATAATTCTAGCATGAGCTGTGGCACAATTTTTATTTCAATTCAGGCCAAAGAACAGAAAACTTAAAAGTTCATTTTCATCATATACTGCTCTTTTATATTTAAAAAAAGGGGAAAAAGTTAACCAGATTGCTTGTAAAATTTGTGTTATACAGTACAAAGTCTGTAATTCGGACTCGTCGGGACTTCGGCAATTCCGGATTAGGGTTTTTTCCAGATTACAAATCATCAATTTAAATCTGGTAAGATGGCATGCAAAAATTGTACAATTAAAAATATGAAATCGAATATGAAATGATGATTTACAAAAAAAAAAAAAAAAAAAAAAAAAAAAAAAAAAAAAAAAACTTAATATTTATTTGTTTACTTTATTAAACATTTCTTTCAATGTAAGTTGTTTAAGATGCTTCCACAAAAAATTCAAAATTTCCTTTTTCTTGTGTCATATATAGTGGACTTTCCAATGCCATACTTCTTGCATAATTTTTAGACGGATAGGCCTTTATGTTTAAGATGCTTCCACAAAAAATTCAAAATTTCCTTTTTCTTGTGTCATATATAGTGGACTTTCCAATGCCATACTTCTCGCATAATTTTTAGGCGGATAGGCCTTTATCCATTTTTTGCAGCAATTCCACTTTTTGTTTAATGGACATCGAAACATGCTTTCGCTTTGTAGATCCTTTGGCAGCTCCAGAATTGAAAACTCTTTTTGACATAATCGAAAGTTCAAGCTTAATTTTTATAAATTGTTCTAAATCTGCAAAAAAAAAAAAAAAAAAAAATAAGCTGGATCTAATCAGAAGATTAAGGAACGGCACAATCTGCAACATTAACTGAAATGCCTTAGATAATTTTAGCCTAGCTTATACCGTCCATTATACATTAAAAGCACATGCATAAAGTTTATAGCTCTGAGGTCCGGATTCTGGACGTCCAGATTACAGACTTTGTACTGTATATGCTTAAAATACTTTTTCTGATGGGACAGTTTGATGGCTGTTTGAGAAGTGAGGAAATTTCAATCTCAAAGATTATGCTTGGTCTAGATGTCCATCCTCTGTAAACAAAGACCTATTAAAAAACACTCACTGAACATCCATGCTATATAGTTCAGAATTATAAGACAAGCCAAATATCCTCCTCCCCAAAAAATAGAATACATGACCATGTAAAGAACACTAGGTATGTAAACCACTATGGTGTAGGGGTACTCAATACCTCAACAGAGCAGAATATGCTTGCATGAGTTTCTCAGCATGTTTATTGCTGAGAAGAAATTAAGAAGTTTCTTTTTGTTAAATGGCTTGTTACTGGAGAAAAAGAGTTGATCTTAGGGTCATGTGATAAGCCAATACAGCTTCCTTTAAGCTTTGTTCATAGCAGTTTCTTAAACTGTAGGTTGCTGGACCTGCAGCAGGGGGTAGCCAAAACTTTTAGCAGTTTTGATATTTCTTTAACTTATTATAATAATTTTACAATTATCAAATATTTTTATACAATGTATCTGAAAATAGATAAAGGCAATACAGACAAATCAAAAACGAAAAGGTTTTGACGCATTCTTTTTATAACATAAACATTTGTTTTACTTGCTTTGCACATGATGCTGTCATTTCATCTGTTACTTATTTAAAATTTTCATGTTGTTCTATATCTTAAAATTAGAAATTAAAGTTAATGACCTAAAACTGCAATAGTGTATTACAGTACAAGTGAAAAAATTGACAGTTTCACTCATGCATGTGTTGGATTTGCACAATGCTTATGGGGTCCTACAAACTTTTCGTAAATATTATGGGGCTCCTGGGGTCACGGAAAAAATCTCGGTGATAAAAAGGGGTCACGAATAAAAAACGTTTAAGAAGCCCTGGTTCACATGATGGTTTTAAAATCATAAGAGGTATAAGAAGAGCTTACCTGATAAGCAACTATACCTTGTTCTGTCAAAAAAAAAAAACTGTTTTACGGTTTAAAGTCCTATGACAACAAATGGCTGCATCCCAAAAATGAATGCTGCAATGTAACAAATGCCCAAGAATGGCGTTAGTGTGCCCCATGAGGGTGCTCTTCCATAGATGGTTAGTGCAGTGGGAGTGATACCATTTTTGCACAAGGCAATGTTTTGATGCCCCCTGCATTTGTTTCTGTCTGTCTGCATCATCACAAAAACGTAATCCTTTGCATATGTTGAGAATATACAGAAGTGTATACTATGGATTGTTGCCACCAAATAAGGTAATAAATTCAGAAAAATATGGTTCTCAAATGGCAGTTTTAAAATCAGACATTGAAACGAAATACCCAAAACCAACCAATGGTTAAGATAAGATATACTTGCATTATGAGAATGCTCAGTCCCATATATTGATAAATATCAGGCAAAGATTTATCGGTAGGGTAGTATTTTTCATGTTATCCTCCATATTTACCAGATTTTATCATTTCGGAATTTCAGTTCTTCAGGTCAATTCAAAATTGTTTGAACAGCACGAAGTTCGCTTCTTTGGAGACTATCAAATAGCACCTTGGTTAACTTCTTTACAAATACATTAAATGACTTTTTTTAAAAGAAATTTTTCAACTTTGGAGCGATAGCAAAAGGTCATAGAGCCAAACAGTGCTTATGCAATTCAATGTAATTTTATGTTTTTGCATTGCCTCATTTAAATTTATTATCAAAAGCATGCAGAACTTTCCAGAAGACCCAATACAAATTATGAAAAGCTGGTATTAAACAAAAATATTTAAAATATTCTAATAATAGCATACAATGCATAAAAGATGCAGTTGAATTTAAAATAAAAACATGATTATCATTTTTTACACTAATTTTCACTAGCTGCATATGAAGAACTTATTCTTCATTATGAAAACTTTTACTATTTTAATATCTTTAGTGGAAACAAATTATATCAATAATATAAATATTGCAAATATGTTTACAAGAAGATAACTCTTTATCAAAACATATTTCAGAAGTTTTGGAGATGCTAGCATACAGATTACTTCTAATGGTTAGGAGTTATGAAAAATAATGACTTAATAAAAAAAATCAGCCATCATTAACAGTAGTCTAATGAATTCAGAGACTTAAAAAAAAAAGACATCTGTATTATAATGCAGAAATGAAAACTTCAATAGTTAATAAAATGTCCTAGTTCTAAAAATTTCCAATTACTTTCAAATTTATTCGTCGAGAAAACATAATTTCAGAGTAGGATATTAAATGCAATTACTAAGGCATACTAAAAAGGCTTCATAAAAAGGAATACCATTGAACATATGCTGCATCCAGATAAGATAGTCAAAAAAATAATAATAATATCAACTTAAAAAAGATCTATAGCATATACTTTTAGCATATGTTACTGCAAAGAGAAATCTTAACACTTTTTAAAATCTTTTTATTTGTCCCTTTCATGCATATGCAAACTCTATTCATTGCATACATTAACCCTTTCACCATCCTCTCCTGTCCACAAAAATTTCCTCCCAGTGGTCGTCTGTTTTTCGTAGCATGTAATGTTGCTTTCTCTGTACAACATAACTTTTCATACATGACTTTCATAGTGGATCAATGTCAATGAATAGTAAGTAAAATTATAAGGAAATAAAGCATAATGGAAAAATAATAATATCTCTGCTTATTTCTAACAGCAGGATAATTTGATAACATCTGATCCAGGCGGTCGACTCCTCCCATTTTGTTGTAATCTTTTACAATTATTCGGTTTTTTTTTTGGTTTTTTTTTCAGTTCTTTTTCATGTTTCAACATCAATTATTGAGTTATTATGGACTGTACTCATCAAACGTATATCCTTCTTGTCTTTCCAATTAATTCACAACCTCATTTTTCTCTTTTTCTGCTGAGTAGACGTTGAAGCCATCTCTCACTGTCTTGTATCTTATGTAAAATGGCGTGAATATTCATAAAACCCGGGGCAAATTCAATTAGAAATAGAATGCCTGATTAGGGCTACCCTCTAGGAGGTATTAGAACAAACAAAAATAAAAACTCAAACAAGTAAACATTTAGAAAATGTTTAAAAGTTTTAAAATGTAGAAGAACGCTTGAGGCGCATTACGGCCGCCCTGAGGAAGTTTCACTTGAACGCGCTAGACACGTTATGGACGCCATAACAAAAAAACAAGATGTTAGTACTGCAGCACCAGTTCAGATGAGCAGCGGCTAGCAAAATTACTGCTCTTAGACCAAAATATGAGAGACAATCTTCATCACCTGAGAACACTTCGGGAAAAATAAACAGGGAAATTTATGACAAAGTTACAAATAACTTAAACCTTTTCCTGACCATCAGATTTAACTTCACAGATTAATCTCTAGTGGGCATATGAAATATACCTCTTGTGTTTGACTTTTGAGAAAAAATTTAGGAAAAGCAAACTTCTCATGTGTAGTGCCGCTGCTGATAAACAGCATGCTGATGTTTTCGATAAAATTTCACTCACAAGGTTAGCAAATTTTTGTTTATTTCCATTTTAATTTTAGCACATGATAAAATTTTAAAATATATACAAAATTTTCAAAGAGTTTTATTCGAATCCTTCAATCCTCATTTCACAGAGTAAGACATTCTCTTTTATTTTAGACAACTCATTATAGAAAGTGTGTGGCTCTGGAAGAGCCATTTTTTGTAGATTCCCATAAATCGGATATTATGAAAAGCACGAAAAGTAAAAAAGCGCATGTACGATCAAGATAAATAAGATGTAATCAGTGATTTAATCGATATGGTTATATGAACTAAACAGTGCCTCATAGATATTGTACACATTGAATTGGTCTGATGCCACATAATTAAATGAAATGGGGGGAGGGAACTAATAAATAAAAGAAGGAAGAATAAATAAACGATTTTGTGTTTTTTCTGTATGAACGTTATATTTAATAATCAAATTTGCCAAAGTGTCATAAATCGGCAGCAGCCGTTGCCGCTGATCCTTTTTTTTTTTTTTTTTGGGTTCTGCATATAAGTTGACCCCTTACTTTGAAGTTCAATTTTCTCCCCCTTAAAATTTCCAACTTATATGCAGGTATATATGGTATTTGTCATCTAAACCTTCGTCATAATAGCATTTTGTGAGTTTTTGCTTTACTTTTACCATGCATATGAAAATATTTTATACTGTTTTTACATATAATTGATTTTCATGCAAAACAAAATTATAAAAATATCAAACATGGTATATTTTAAAAATAAAAATCAAAGAAAAGAGAACAAGGGTGGATTTGACGTGACGGTTGGTTTTAGAAATGATGGCAGTTCTTTATGAAAATGGCCAGAGGTGAAGCTATTTGTGACATTTGATATTTACTTATTTATTACTACTTGTTTATTTATGGGAAGCTTATTTTCATTTGAAATAAGGACAATTTCCCATAGTAAACACATTTCATTTGTACTTAATTTTGAATTGATTATTAACACTCCTTCCAAAAAGCACATATTTATATAGCATATCATAAAATGGCAGAAAAATGAAATAGTTACATCTAAAAATTATATATATATATCATGCCTATGTTAACAGCTCGCAAAACTATTAATTATAATATATATATATATATATATATATATTAATTTAAAGGTTTCTCACACATACCCTTGGGTACAGCAGTTGCTAGCATGTTTTGCCAATTTTGTTAAAAGCTTAGAATTAGTTTCTTCTATGACTGACCTAAAAAAAAAAAAAAAAAAAAAAAATTAGAAAGTTTACATTGCAGTTAAAAAAAAAATTTAATAACTTTTAAGAAAATAGCTGTAAAATTTTATAAATACTTTTCACCTTACCTTTCCTTAAAAAATTCAGCTAAATCCTTTGTTACAACATAACCATATTTCATGTTACGGTAGAGTACATCAAATCCATTATTTCCTTCACCCTGTAATAAAAAATAGTCTTAGATAAAATATAACAATAATTTGTTCTCATTTTTAATAAATATCAAGTCTTCCTTTTAATTTTATAATTCTCCATTCATGTCTAACATTAGTAAAATCCTTACATATTTATAATTCTGAAAACTTGAAATAATGTAAACTGAATAGGTAATGATGGGAATTTGAAGTGATCATCTTGTAATACACCGCTAAAAGTAATTAATTAACAAGTATCTCATGAAACTTTACAAAAACTTCAATGATTTAACACTTTGATGTATAAAGATGGAAGTAAAATATACATTAAGTGTCATCATCATAACTTTTCTATCATTTTTTACTTCCTCATGCATTGGATCTTCAACTTCTACCAGAGTAGCAACTTCACGACCTCCTAAAAGCTGATCATTCTCATCTTGCCCCATTCACAAATCATAATATGAATAATATATTTGCTCAGCCTTGTTAAATCTATTAGTCTAGATCTCTTCTAGGTATTTGCTCAGCCTTGTTAAATCTATTAGTCTAGACCTCTTCTAGGTATTTCTTCAATTCATTGTCACATGTTAATTTTCTTCTGGAATGAATTACTAAAACAGGCTGAAAATCATCCAGAAGTTTGGTAATCTACTCCACTGCAGCCAAATAAGATAATGTTGATTCTTTTCCCCCAAACCATGAAAAAGTACTGATGAAGCAATACACGATGTTGCCAAAAAGAATTTACATGGCAGCCCTTGATATCACCAAAAAGTATTTATTGATAATCCAGGTATGCATGTAGCACACAAGTTTGAGCATATGTAGATTTGCACTTTTGAAATTCAATGGTCATTTCTCTAATTAATATTTTTGCATTAAATACATTTTTTGTTGCTGTAATGAACTGTTATAGAAAATGCCTTTTATTTTCTTTACACAGGAGAGTGCAATGAAATTTCAATTGTTACTGGGCAATCATGATTGTGGGTGGTATGCAATGCCAAGGCTATGCAATATTCCAATTTTATTTACTTACTTATTTATTTTTTAGTGAAAACAGATGGCTACGTACATAGGGAGAACAATAGTGCAAAAAAAATACAGATGGATTTCTTGAAAAATGTGTCATGTTTAGCACTTGATATATCATTGAAATTTATGTAAAGATATTCAAATAAGCGTTTGTCTTCAGTCTCTAGTGTGTTCCCAACCTTTTGATGGGGCTCTGAATAATCAGAAAATACCAAAATACTTTTATGTGCACAATGAATGTAAACAGCTTTTTGATTTGTGCCTATTAATTGTAAAATTACAGACAACATAAAAATAATCTTAATAGTTTTTTATTAGACACAGCAGAAAATTAACTGTTCCATACAAGGAATATGCATCATGCTGAAATGAACCATAAAGTACTAACTCGCAAATTAAAATAATAGAGTTTAATAAACTGTGATGAACACGCATGCGCAATTTAGCCAAACGGCACGCAACAACTCTCTTTCGCATGACTTACATTAGAAGAGAAGAGACTCATAGTAAGGAAGTAACAAAAGCAACCAGCTGTATGCCAGCCTACTAATGATGCATATGGTTCTATTTTTGTGTTAACTATTTGTTTCATTTGTGTGTTAATAAAGTGTTGGTGCCATTAAATGGCCGGTTTTGGTGCCGGTGTTATATGCAGTGCTCAAATTACATTTGCATCACAATTAAGCAGGAAATATATATATCCAGAGCTCACGGAGAAGCAATATATGACATAAACATGCTAACTTTGATTCACTTATTAAATGCATATTTATTTTTTTCCATAGTACTATGCACTGATAAAAAATTATGACCATCCATACATTTTTCACTGAAATCACCCAAATGATATAATGGGCATGTGAATAAGTGGGAATGGTATTTAACTGCTTGAGAAGGTAAGGATTCATTCTGGCATTTACTTTTGTGAGTGACGGGAAAGGCTGTTGTTCTAAGCGAATTTGATAGACAGCAGATTGTAATGGCCCAAAGACTTGGAACAAATATCTCCGAAACTGTACAAAGGTCGGTTGTTCACAATATTGCTGTTGTTAGTATTTATGCAGAGCAGATAAATGACGGTGAAACCAGCAGTAGACACAGTGTTTGTCATCCACGCACCATCAGAGAAAAAAGACGTCAGAGAACATCCCACATGGTACAACAAAATCAGTGCCAGATAGTGGCTCAGCTGACAGCCCAATACAATGAAGATTCAAGTGCCAGTGTTTCAAAACTCAAAAGTTCAGCAGATACTGTTGGATACTGGACTGTGACACAGATGTTCCACTCATGTGCCTCAGTTGACCAAGTGTCATCATCAACTACGCCTACAGTTGTTTAGGAAACATTGAGACTGGGCCATGGATAAGTGGCAGACAGTTCCCTGGCTGGATTAAATCACAATTTTTCATCCCTCACATTGATGGTTGTGTCAGGGTACATTGTCTTCCAGGCGAACAGTTGCTCCCCTCCTGTAGAGCAGGTCAGGCACAGGCTGATATTGGCATATTCTTTGGGAGGGGGTGTTCCCACGGATGGCTCTGGGACCCTAAATTCTGATAGAACAGATTATGAAAGCTGCAGAGTATGTGAACGTAATTGCGGATAAGTTGCACCCTTACATGGCATCTGTCTTCTCAACTAGAAATGGAATCTTCTAGCATGCCAATGCCCCATGTCAAAGGGCTTGATTTGCATTGGAGTGGTTCAAGGAGCATAATGATAAATTCCAATTGATGACCAGGCCACCTAACTCACTGGATCTTAAGAGCATATTTGGGATATCATGGAGCAGCAGCTCAGAGCTCAACAACCAACATATCGGAATATCTCCAAGTTATGTAACCACTGCTTAGACATTTGGTACAACCCATCTCCATCATCTACCATGAACTTGTGGCATTCATGTCAAGGCCACTTGCAGCTATTTAGCAGGCCAAAAGTTGTGCAATGCATTATCGAGCAGGTGGTCAAAATGTTTTGGCTCTTCAGTGTATTTTATAATATATTGCTATACAGTCATTGTGTGCTTCGCCTTCTTTAAAAATCAACTAATCCAATCAGCTTTTAATTGTTTCTTGAATTATTTCTACGATCTGAATACTGCAGAACATAATTCAATGCATTTTATCCATAATGTGTACAAAATAACTAATTTCTTTTATGGTTCAAGAATTTGACACTTCTTACTATCTATCACACTGAAAGAGTATTTATTTAGAGTATTAGAGACTTTCTAGAAGAATATTAGGCATCCTTAGGTCAGTCAGTTTTTTAAGACAAGGGAACTCAAATATTAGCCTTTCTTAATTGTTTGTTCACTGTGAAAATAAGGCTTGTTTTTGCGATTGGTTGGGAAACTGTTTAGAGTGTATTTTTATTTATTTCTAATTTTTGTAGGTTATTTCACACACATATAAAGAATGCTTTTGAATTTTCTTTTATTTTTTTACTGGAAATATAAACTGATGATGATTTATCACTTGGCAGCTCATGTGAATCGTAACAATTAAAGTACAGTTATTAAATAAGATGAAGACTTGACAGTAGTAAAATCACAGATAACTTAGCAGCTTTTCATTTGAAGGATAAAAACTGTCACACAATGGTTAAAAAATAAATTTAAGCAAAATATCAAATCAAACAAATCCTACAAAATTATATATCCTACTGATATATGCTACAAATATCCTACAAACTGATCTGCATGACCCTGTTTCTTATTTTCCAGGACCTAAGAAAATCAGCTACTATAGAAACACCAACAATAAATTGGAAAGAACAGGGTTTGTTTTTATTCACAATTATAGCATATCGATTAATCTGCCCTTTCTGCATCAACACAGTGTTTCCAGCGACTCTGCCAATCACTGAAGGCTCCCTGGAATGCAACAACTAGATTGCTCTTCAGCTTCCTCATTACAGCCTCTTGAATGACCTGGACCAAGCCATCGTGCTGCCCTTTCATGACCCTTTTCAGTCGGGGAAAGGAAGAAGTCTGAAAGAGTGACATCTGGGTTGTAGGGTGGCTTGGGAAGCTTAATGATGCCATGTTTGATCAGGAAGTCCATGACAGCAAAGGCGGTGTGGCTCAGTGCATTGTCGTGACGAAGGCTTCATGATCCAGCAATTGCTGGACGGACACATCTGATTCATTTTCCAAGTCTGAGGTGGTCACAGTTCAAAAGATTTCCCACTTTCTTTATGTTTTTGTCACTTTTTGCCATTGAAGGGCATTCTGACCATGGCTTATCTTCAGCTTGCTCTCTTCCCTCCCAAAACAATTTGTGCCACTCATGGTTTTACCCAGTTTGATGCACATCTTCACCACATAATGCTGCTTTAACGAAGATTCATTGTGGAGATGATAAGAAGAAAGGGGTTCGATTACACCCTTAAACTTAATCTACACTCCGTGAAGGTTAGAGGCAACTGGTGCGCTGGCAGCTAAGATCCCCCACAATCCAAATAGTGCAGTAACATCACCCTTCTTCACCATGTCTTGGAGGGAAAAAAAAAAAAGAAACAGTCCAACTACTTCCTAGGAAAACCCTGTATTTTTAACCTTTCCAAGTTATATAAAATTCAAGAATTCCAAATTTGAATATTGGACAAAAGCACCAAATTTTTCTTATGACAGAAATGCAAACTGAATAGATTTAAAAGATTTTTTTAGTATTTTAATAAAAAATGTATTTCCATTTATAAATTAACATTATAAAATTAAGTCCATTATTGGTTATAGTAAATTCTTTTTCTACCCAAATAAATCACAGATTGCTAAAAAAATGGTAATAGAACATGAAAATACACACACATGTATTTAAAAGATGACATTTCATTGTAAAGAAAATTAAAACAGCAAGTGCCGTTTTAAATATTTAGGACTCCTAAGATCCCCTATTGTTAGATATGACAGTAAATGTATACCATTTTGTCCATTCATCAACTTATTTCTACCTAAATAATCTCTCAAAATTTAAACACA